AAAATTGCAATATTACAAAATAGCAGATAAAGAGTTAAAGATAAAATTTTACATTTTCCTTCCGGATACTATCAACTTAATGAATGAGATACCCATGCGTGCAATACTCTTGGCCGCAGCAGCATTAGTAACGACCATGTCTGTATAAGTACCATCTCTGCGAATAACATTCGCAGAGATCCGGCAATTATGACTTTGAGAAAAGGCAAAGAATAATAGGAATAAACTAATTGAAAATGCAACCAGAGACTTCTAAACAAATCACCTCAAGTTCAAGCTTCCTGCCTTTGATATGAAAGTTAAAATTCAAACGTCACTGAAGCCGTGAACTCGGGTGATTCTAGTATTTTGAGCTTCTAGATGCGGAGCTCAGGAAAACACTCCGGCTGTTTCTAACAGTAGATGAAGACAAAGCTCTCTTTGAACCAAATTAGCCTATTTCCATTTTCATTTGTCACACTCTGGGATGGAGCTGGGCCACAATAAGCCATCGCCATAGTAGCACGTGGCTGTCCCTCATTGGAGCAGGGCCTATAGTAGACCGGCCTGGTGGAGTCAGAGGACGGGTTGAGGGGGCAGATGGGACCATGGTGATGTATTATGCATGGGTAGGAACCATGCTCTGGAGGGCCAGCTGAGGCTCCAGTCGGAGAGAGGGACAGACTGTCCCTCTCTAGCACCTCCCACCAGTCCTCTGAGACTGTGGACTGTGGGCAGCCTGCGCTCCTCCATGACCCAGGGCACAGGTCCAGCACTATTGGCTAATATATGTGGAAGTCAGTGGTTTGTGTTGAAATATTTATTTGCACACAGGATGTGCTCTTCATGTGATGCAACAGACTTAGGTTTCCAGACGACACTAGTAGTAGATGGGGGGGATTAATACCTTAGCATAAGCACATCATTGACATTTTATCAATTTAAAAAGTTGATACATGTTATATACATGTATGGCATGGACATGTTAGAAAGCAGATGGGTATTTACACATCCAGCAGACAGTGCTCTCATAAAACTCATTTCTAAAGATAATGTTGCTCCATGAGACTGAACCAAAGCAGTAAAGCAATGAAAACAATGAGCGTAAAGATACTAAAATGCTAAATGGAGCAGAGGGTATAGCCTGTGGGTTCACCAGTAAGACCGACACCCTTTTACATTACATTTCATTTTCTCATCTATTAGTGTGAACATATTGATTAGTGCAGCATTAATTTACTTCCACACAACACGTGTTTTCAGGGACTTAAATGCTACTATATCCATGCCACTGAGTTCAGGGAGAGAAGACTTTGTAAATCTACAACACTTACCAACGAAGCTAAGTTTGTGCACTTTACAGCCAATTAATATTGATCCTCTCAGAATAGCCGGCAACGCCAGCAATATTGATTTGCACTGTGTTTGAAACGCATTACAAAAGGGCTCACAATTACTGCCTTTTTGTGAAAATTGCATTACATGAAATATTGATCCGATGTGTTCCTGTATTCATTGTTTTTAGCTCAAGAATTTAGTGCAAGTTTGTTCCTGCAAAAAAACAAAAAGACAAATGAATCTGCTTTGCTCCTTCTGTACTCTGTAGGAGTGGCAGACGTGTCTGCGGCGCTCCACTGATGATTAGAGCAGAGTGGAGGTCAGAGGGGGTCAGAGAGATCTTATTTATCAGTGTCTCCACTCAGTCACTGCCAAAGTCACCTTTAATGGCCTCCGATGTGCGTCCACATCCCCCCCTGCGCTCAAACCCCCCTCCTCCCCCCCCCCCCCCCCCCACTGATGACTGACAGCACAGCTAATGTAATCACAGCCGGGTACAGCACGGAAAGGGGAGATAGAGAGAGGGTCGGAGGCAAGAGCTCAGCAGCCAATCTCCTCCCAGCTTGGCTGCAGGATACACACCAGATGGGCCTTTGGAGGAGAAGAAAGATCCTCACTGAGCCGCTCTGCAGTGAGCTGTCTATTGTGGGAAAATAGTAGTGGTTTGTTAAAATTGCCATGTTCTAATAATAGGTCATGAGAAAGTTGAGAAAGGTGAAGGAAGCTTTGAGAACTGGAAGTGTTTTTCAGAGATTTGGGGTCAACTGCCTCATTTAGTCGGTGTGTTTCTCACTGCAGAACTGCCGGGGATCCGTCAGGGTGGAAGTAAAACAAAATAAAGTGGCAAACAATGTCATTCGATCGCAGCAAGAAAACACAATAAAAAAAATGTATAAGAGGAAAACTATTAAATCACATAAAAGTATCAAAATCATCCATTTGTTGTCTGTTGATTGTTTTTTCCAGTGATCCATGCCAAGTCTAGGATACAGGAGATAAGATTGTATTATTTCAATTTAAACTTTAAATGATTCATAATCATTTTAGCCAAATTTGACAATCACAATAATCTAAACTGTTGAAAACTATTTTCAGTTTTCTGTAGCCTTAGCTACAATAATTCATTTTCAATTTTCATACCAAGGTTAGCAACCTCTATATGTTTTTCTGTTGTTATGAAACACATCATTTTACTTTGTCGGTTATTGTGTTTTCTTGAAGGAACCTGGGGTTTTGACTAATTGGGGTCGGCATTTGGCGTGGTATTGAACGGTCAAGCTAAATTATGTCAAAATGTCCATGAAAATATATAAATAAACTTTTTTTAAAAGTCATTGATAAGTTTTCAAGGTTTTCCCTGACCACAAAAACGCTCCTGTAATATCTATTATGAATGTTTTCTGTTCTGTCATCACCATCTTTTGCTGAACAAACTACAGGTTTATATACTCTTGATCAGCCACTTCATACTGCATGAAGCTTCCTGTTCTGAGGAAACAAAAAAGGACGGCGATCCTTACTGATACGTTCAAAAGGATGCTGACAGAATGAGAGGTCCCTGGACTGTGAGTAAATTAACAAGACAGTCTGCGCTGTTGTTGAAAGAAAGATGGCTACCTGTCTATTAGAGGGAGAAAAAAGAAAGGAGAAAGGAGCGTTCAATGTCAGTCAGCAGTCCCCACGTCTCCCGTCCTGGTGTGCTCATGCATTTTCTTTGAGCTTTAACAAGCTGTTTAGCCTCACAGAGAAACAGACGGGAGAATCACAGAGACAAGAATGCGAAGGAGCTACTTTATTGGATCTGTGTGGGAACCTATTTTTGTTTTATATAAATGATAACTCATAAAAATGTCCAACCAGCAAGCACTTAAAGCCTTGCAACCTTGTTGTGGATTAGAGTTCATGAGCATTTCGATTCAGCAACAGCTGTTACGTTGTAGCTCATACGGTGCATTTATCAGCACAAATTAATTTGCATTAGTGTGAGGAAAACAGAAAACGACACTGGAGCAAACGAACACAACAAGCATATGTGCAATAACTTGCAAGCAGCTCAGTCACACTCTTGACACCGCCCCTTCAGCTGGCAGCATCCTCCCTCCCCTAATTGGAGCTCGTAGGAATCCAGCCTCTCATCTCCTCCTCTTCCATCACAAAGGTGATGTGAAATGATCCGCAAGAACATGAGCACAACATGAGGAGAAAACTGAGGGAGAGAGATGTAGGAGAGAGGCTGCCAGTAATGTCACGTCCCTGGTTCAGCAAATTCATTTATTAACAAAAAAAAAGGTGCCAGCTAGCAGTCCAACAACATCAATCCTCAAGCATCCTCACAGCTGCTTACTTGGGTGATTGACGCCCCAGGAAAGTATTTTTAAAAAGGACACTGAGGTCAACTCTGAATAAGAGGACATGGAGGAAGATTCAGTCAAAGAGAGACGGGGGTGAGGAGAAAAAACAAATTAGCTAGCGGAAGACTGTCGAATGCTGTGTTCCGTTCAGTGTATCGGTCATTGCACTGAGGGAATTTAAGTGGCAATTGACTCTGATGGAGGAAATGTAACCTTGTTGTTGAACCCCTATTACACAAAGTCAATATTTTCATTTCATCTGAGGCCCTTTGCCGGAGCAGCTCAGAAATAGCATTCTGTGTCTTCACAAACAATTTGCACCGGTGCAAAATGAAGCGTGAAGTCGACTCCGACACCGCCAGCCTGCCAGGTATCGGCACAAACTACGATGTTCACAAATTCAAGAGCACATGTTCCAGCAATTTATGAGCTGGATTACATGCATCTTCACAGCACAACTAATGACTGTTCTCAGACTGATCAGCCCTCAATTATCTTTTTAGATTTATCAAGCAATAAATCATTTAATCTATAAAAAAAAAAATTACCGAGTAGTTGATAAATCAAAATGATTAAATTACTTCCATCGTATTTTGACAAACCATAGGCTATGTCATTGCACAAAATAAACTACGCTACCTTTGAAATCCCTTGAAATATTAACGATATTGTAATAGAGTATCAAAATATGCTCCACATATTCTTACAGTAGTACACTTACCCGTTTAGAATCAAAACACACCGTCTATGTGACACTGTAGCACGGCACTGTGCAGTCTCTCCATGAAGATGAATGGCACCTGGACTCCCACCATGCCACAGCGCACAGAGCCCCCCCCCCCGGTGTGTTTGCCTCAGTATAAGTTTGGACTTTTGCAAGGTGACCGCTGGCAAACGCTCTTTTTTTAACACCATAAATGTAAGTGCCATGATCGCGCCATGAAAGCGGTACAGCAAGAATTCCCTCACATATGTGGCGACACTGTGACTTCTGAAAGTTTCGTCAGATTGCAACAGGTCGACGGCGCACTTTTGTTCATCAAAGGTGAACTCGTCACAAAAGCTCTGCACTTCACCACCATCCCCCATTGCAACGGTTTCGCTGATAGTCGTTAGTTTTGGTGGAAATTTCTAGGACCCTGAGAAAGTTGATTGAGGGACAGACGTTTTACTTTTAGAACTGCTGGTGTGAGCAACCAAGAAAACCAGCCACCCTCCCAACTCCCAGGTGAATCCCCCCCCCCCAACCAGTATCCAACAACCTTTTTGGTCAACTAGTGAGTCCCCCCCCCTGCCTTCTCCTAGAGCAAATGAATCGATTGACTCTTGTACCTGTGCATCCACAAGAAGGTGCCTCATCAGCGTCATGGACTTCTGCAGCGGCTCCTTCTCAGGAGGAGGAAAGACGGGCTGCTCCTGCTCCTGCGGCTTGGGTCCAGTCACCATGATGCTCGCAATCTGGTCATTCAAGCTGTTCAGAGATTGCACAGCTACAGGAAGACAAACATAGACAATAACAGTCAGTTAACATAGACCAGTTGTTCTAGTTGGATTGGTTGTTAATCTGGTGGCATTACAAAAGACAATTAAAAGTATAGCTTTTTATACGTCCCACCTATCGTGAGTGCAGGCAGGTGTATAACATGCTTTCAATACCAGAACGCCATTAGACAGATATTTCTTCCTTTGTTGATGTATTGCCAGCCTCTTTCTGAGCAGGAACAACAGAGATAACAGTGGAAGAAAACGGGTTTCCTACTGTCACACCGTCACCGACTTTCTCCGTCAACGCCCTCTGTGGTCCAGAACGTTCCATGTCGGCCTGAGAGCCATCCTGTTTTGTTTCCCTGTTCTTGCCCTTGCGTGTCCCTGGCAAACCTCTCCTTTCAGGTTTCCTCTCCAGCTAAGCTTCCACATTAAGAAATAGCCAGCCCTACTGTATTTCCTTCTCCTCACACACACACACACACACACACACACACACACACACAGACTTCCTCAACCCGCTTCCATTTACCGGTAATCCCCCTTGGTCTTTGAAAGGTCATCACAACTATTTCAGAGGCCACCCACATGGCGGAAATGTTGGATAAATGAAAGTGTGTGAGAAAAAGCGATTTCAATATTTTTGTTTCTTTTTTCATGCGCTGCTACACTAACCCCTTATGTGTCATTATCTATCTTTCCAGCATTTAAACTTTGCTAAACCCTCAAACGTACAGCTTTGTTGGTTATAAAGGGAGACGCAGTGATCAAGGATTGACCAGCTGTCCAGAAGTCATCTGATACGGACTCTGAACCATTAAACCATCATGCACTGGCACATTTCGGCCAAATTAAGAAATCCAACCTGCTAAATCCATAGAGAGGATGATTTCAGGCCAAGAATCTGGATAGGGTCTTTTCAGGATGCAGATATAAAGCTTCTTTCACACACAAAAGCCCACGCAAAAAAAAAAAAGAGAGCACAGATTAATGTGTTACATAACCCAATGAAAAATAAAAAAAAATCTTTCACCGGGGCTGACATTTCCTAACAAACAAGCTTTGAGTAGGAAATTTGACAAGTCGGCACTGAAGGCAGAGATAAGACGGGAGAGAGGCGGCTGAAGAGGAACACCGTGTCCCCTCGCACTGAGAGTTGAGCAGACATCAGATGCTTGAAGTGCTGGATGTCGCCCGAGTTCACAGACACTGCAACCTGCAGTGCAGTTCACCTCTCTACACAGTCCGAACACATAATGGGTTACAGTAAGCCAGTGACTCTTCTTACACATCTTTTCAGTTTAGATCCAATTGTGGTCGATTTAAAAAGGCAAAGGGCCACATTTTGCATTTATTTATTTTTTACGTGAAAACAACACAAACGCAAATTAGTAATTAGGTATGAAGCCTCTTCTCTCCTCCAGTGGACCTTTGGCAGATGTGTTTTCAGCTGCTTACTCTTAGTGCCCTCTACTGGCCAAATAATGAACATGCAGGCACAAAAACTGTAATATTAATTTCCCTGTTCCTGGTCCTGAGAACTCTTTTTTTTTGCGACCCAGCACAGTTTCGATGTATGAGAAATAATTTTATGTCAAACATAGAGAATGCAACGTCAGGATGCAAATTTGGCTCAGGTTGTGTAATGTAGAGCAAGTAAGATCAGTGGAGCACCGATGTGTGCTGATGGGCTCATTCAGCCGTTTGCTCTCTAAATAACCAGAAGCACGTTGGACACTTTGTGGTAAGTACACAGATTTGTGTTAGTTAGACTTGGACGTTTGTAGAAAGAAAACGTGTCCCATTAGGTACACCTACCTTTACAAGTGTCGTCATAATCTATTATTACCGTGTAATAATAATCGTTATTACCCATCATTAAATGTCGACTGTAGTAGGCTATGCGTGATGAAAACATTTTAAAACTACACACAACTACACTACACTCTAACAACAAAACATTGCCACTGTTGAGTAAACATTATTGATAAACTTAAAATTCATAGCCATTGATCCTGAAAGCTACACTACGCACTGAAATCAATACAGATATTTTGCGGTAACCTTTGCCCTGTATATTCAACATCAAATATTGATCGTCCAGTCGCCAATGCTGCGATCATTAGACCTTTAAAGCAACAAGGAACAACCATGGTTTGGAAGCATCATGCATCATTTCACAGATGAACTAAAGCCAGCACACAATCAATTATGTTCTTAAAAAAAGGGGTTTGCTCTACGCGTCTCAACCATCTTCATCTGCACACTGAAATAGATTTCCCCTACAGCTCGCCTTCAGCACATCTGAAAGCTGACGAGATATGGCCGATATGGAGGTTGGAAGGGAAAAAAAAAAAAAAAAAGAGCTCAGATCGCAGTAGTTATAGCTTAAAATGGATGCAAAGAATATCAAATTGTCATTCCAGCTCAGCCCTTGCGCTTTTCCTGTTCTTCTGTCGGTGTCTAGCCAGCATAGGGAAACCTTAAAGGGCCTTACATGCCCTCCTATAGAGCAGGAACAGCACATCAAGTGAGGAGGAGGGATGGCACCCCGTCAGGCCTTTATCTGCTCAGAAGGGAGAACTCTGGGTGCCGGGAGGAAATAAGATCACTCGCGATGACAAATGTTTGAAAGAATGTATGCAGCAAACCTAATAGGATAAGGTGCAGCTGTCGGGCTAAAGTTGAGATAAAGGGGGCTGACTTCATGGGAATTTTGGAGAAATGTTGAGGAATATGGAGAGTGATGAATCAAAAATCCATTTCTGGGGTCTCTGATGTCACACTCGCATTTGCTGCTATGCACCGAGCAAGTTCTTCATTTTGGTGTGAAGTCTCGAAAAAGTTTACACTGCAGAGGATTTGTACGCATATATGTGATATAGTGTATAGGCTTGTAAATATAAATTGTTGATTTTGTTCATTATCTAAAATCAGTAGAGAGATTAGACGAACACATTGAACTAAACCTCTGCCTTCTGTACTCTCTGCTACCAGAGAGGAGGAACAGCAGGCTAACAGTGGGTTTGGACGGCATTAATTAGTTAGCTCTACGTAAGCGTTTTCTCCTTTGCGACATTCTTTTTTGGCTTGTTGCTTCTCTTAACTCATATCCTCTCCAGACAGGTTTGCATCAAAGTATCTAATAGCCACATAATGGGAGACAATTGCAGCCAGGGAGCAATCCCTTCGTGTTCATAATGGTGAAACTAATTCCTCTGGTGCTTAACTGGAAGCCTGGCATGTGGTTCAGTGTGTGCATAATTAAGCACAGTTTGCACCTCTTAAACATCTGGCAAACGGGAAAGATGGGCTGTAAGGGCTATAAGGGCCATTAGTTAAAAGTAATACAATTCTATATTCAAGTGTGTGTGAGATCATCAATGGCATCATTAACATAAAAACACAACATAATAATAGCTATTTTAGGCAATGATCAACTCTTATGGGCTCTGAAGCTCCGAGAAAAACACAGTTTAAGATGTGCTGGTGGGGGTTTTATTGATTTAAACATTTTTAAAAGTTCCTATTTTCATGCAGAAAATGGAAGTCTGACACCGCAGACAGGTGAACTACAACCAAGACCACGACTCTGAAGCTGCTGCTGACGAGTGACTGAAGCATGAAGGCAGCAAACAGCATGCAAGAACTCAAACGGTGAACAGAGGTGATCTAAGTGGTGTAGTTTGTAATAATCACAACATTTTATGTCATACATTTCAGCTGAAGGGATGCAGCATCCAAAAAGATTTCTCAAATGATCTGCCTCGGCAGTAGTGCTGTACAACACTGCCCCCTAATGACAACAATAAAGCACTGCAGTATTGGCCTTTTGCTGATCTCAATGCCTGTAAACTGAAATTGATTCAAGTGCTGTAAACAACATCAGACAAACTGTGAAATGAAGGAAAAACAATTAAATCACTGAGGCCAGAAACGTTTCCAGGCCTAACAAAATAATAGTAATAAAAGATAAAGAGAACACGACAATCTTTAAATTAATGTCACGTTTAAGTCTGTTAAGATCAGATGATGTTTGAAGTGTTTTTCAGAAGTTCTCCGGGGGTTTCAAGTGTGGAGGGGAATATGAAAGTGGGACATCGATTGGAACAAAGTACCTTCATTAAAAACCATAAGCATCGACATTACTGGTGTGTCGGACCGTAGTTGATCTGTACAGAGCTGCTGTAATAAAGCAGACTTGACCACGTGGCAGAAAAGTCACCGTCGCCTGGGAAAGGATGTGTTGTAGTCCGATCCATTAAGGACACATAGACAAACATGCTCACACTCTACATTGTGCTGAAATGAAGTTTATTAATCGATTAGTCTACCAACAACTATTTTTAAATCGTTTAAGTCTCAGAAAACGTGAAATATTTCCTGATTCCAGTTTCTCTAGTGTGAGGCATCTACTGCTTTACAGCATCGAATATCTTTTGCTTTTTGAATGTCACAACCTTCTGACATTTTTGGGATGAATTGGATGAAATAATTATTTAAAGACCCTTTGCTGCATTCTTCCACGCACACACACAAACGCAGCACGGCACAGAATTCAACACTCTAGCTCACAGTTAAAAAGGCACATGGTGACGCCATAAACAGGTTGCCCCCTATGTGCAAACATTTTTGCATGTTTACAGGCATGCACACAAATGCATATAATGCCACCATAAATCCCCACCTACAGTCCGCAGTGTGAGATTCACATGCTGCCGATAAACAGACAGAGATGGTGCAGAGGGAGGCATCGCTCGCTCGGCGTAGCCGAAGCCCGGAGGTTCTGTAGCCGTGAAGCGGAGAGCGGCGAGCAGAACTCTCATCTCTGCAGAGCTCATTAAACTCCACTAATCGTATCCGCTACCCCTGTAATGGGCAAAATAAAAGGGAGAGGAGCACAAATGGGATGTGGTCTCCTGGAGGTGGATAGTTGTGGCACCTAAAATGGTTTGTGTATGTGGGTGTATTTAAGTGTGTGAGTGTGTGTGTGTGTGTGTGCGTG